ATTTGTTTTTTAAATCTATTTGTATGAATTTGACGAACAATGATAGAGAAATTGGAAATTTCCATTTTCGGTTTCTTAAAACGCCCAAAATTTGGAAACTCGATTTTCTTCTGTACTTGGTCGGTCCAACTTATTGTCATAGGGGTTTGTTAGCAGCTTTAAATATGAACTATTTGAAATACTATTTGGAATTGTTTGGTTCGATATTTGGGAGAACTACATTACCAAGAGTGGGGATCAAGAAAATCTAAACTTGTACTCTTGATTTCTTTTATTTGCATTTTGGTAGAAAAGGGGTTTCGATAGAGTCCTAAAAGGAAGAAAATTGGAACAAATTTGAAAATAGTATTTTAGAAAAATAGGAACAAATTAATAAAATGGTGTGGATTTCAAGGTAAAAAATGACGAGTAGTTTGTCTCTCAATCTCATCAATACTATGTTTTGATCCTAAATGCTATTAGGATTATTGAAATCAGCTAGGAATGGATGTTTGCAAAAAAATTGAGAAGATTTCACGAAAGAAATAAGATATACAAAATCTCACTCTCTATCCGCCTGAGTGTCGGGGGACTTGGCCTGATCTCCCCAAGATCAGTCCAAGTCGGGATTTATTTTGACTCAGAATTGACGAGTCGACTTTTGATAATTAATTAATAGTTTTTTTTTAAAAAATTAACCATTAATTACAGGATTTACTTATCTCTCATTTTAATTAAGCTCTATTGCTTTTTATTCTACTTTCTTCTCGAATTACATCTCTCAGTTTCCTTGAAGTTTATATTCTATTTGCTCCTCTCGTGTGTTTTACTAGGACGTGTACTATGCTCCATGTAGCATAGTTTACTTTAAGTCCTTAGATCCCATGTGGGATGAATTTTTTCGATATGTAATTATCTTTAATTTTGGCAACCACTTTTAGAATCAATGTATGATTATTTTAAAAAAAAAAAAATTTCACTTCTCTAACACTTATATCTCACTTTCTAAAAATTTGTTCGTTTCTATTAAATCTTTATAGGGTAAAGTTGGCATACTGATGCATATGTAAATGTAGAGGTAAGGTGCACCTTCAAATTCTATCATGGTATATAATTTGATGTAAAATGTTTTTAGGATTATCTCAAAATCTAGTTTTATATCTAATTATAAAATTTAAAATTTAAAAAATGGTTAAAATCAAGTAGATCTATAAATATATGAAAATCTTGAAAATGGATGGTGTAGATAATATGTTGTAAAATGAACTATTTTTTCGACTTAAAATCTTTTTATTTTTTATGGTCATATATCTCGATGTCGAGATGATCAATCAAATGGCTTTTCAACATTAAAACTTTTTTTTTCGATGGATTTTTGAGGTGTATCCGTAGTTCAATATTATAAGGTTGCATCCTCATATAAATTTTTTCCTGTATATTAAAGTGGTTCATCAACATTATCATTATTTTTAACTTTTTTCAATTAATCAGGGACGATTATATAAATTCTAGTTCTCTGTCAATAATTACTATAAGTTTTTAAAAAAAATTACATTAGCTACCTACCTGACATGGGTGGGGTAAAAGAGAAAGTTTGAGATCCTCACCATTATTAGAAGGATGAGGTTATATTTTCAAAAATTTAAAATCCTAAAATTAATCTTTAAATAGAGTTTTGTCCGAGAGACACATAAGTCCTTAAGAAAGGCCAAAAGAGAAAAAGACCCATGGAAACAAATTCGCAAAGGGAATCTACGAAAAAGCCGAGAAAACCCTTGGCCCAAGGGGCCTAGCTCATAACCCCAGGGCTATTACTAAAGTCTTCTTACTTTTCCCCTCCCTCCCTCCCTCCCTACCCCTATGACCTACAATTCCGTATTTCTATATTCACCTACCCACACCGCATGCAGCGAGGTGCCAGTAATAATAACATCAGATGGGGGCCGTGGCGTGTGCTCGTGGGTGTGCGTGTGCCTGTGCTCGTGGGTCACTACAACAACATCCCATTTTTCTCTCTCTATCTCTCTCTCTCTCTCGTCTCTAAGTCATTTCTGATGGGAAATTTCTCTCTCTAGTTTCTCTCTTCCAAATGAAGCGAAATTTCTTTTTATATTCTCTCTCTTCCATCTTTTTTACCAAAACCAGGTCATTTCTGATTTCTTTCTCTCCCTCTCTAACTTTTACCAAACTCCAACATGCTCTCTGGCCTCTCTGACACCCTACAATTATGACACCCTCCCAACCTCAATTAAACAAGAGAGAGAAAGTCAGTAAAGCAAGACGTGGGGACAGGCGAGTAAAAATTGCTCGAGCTTTTTACCAAATTACCGTAAGGGACGATCCTTTTTGAAGTGCACCGACGATCTCTTTTGTACCGCTTGCCGGGCCTGTCTGCAATGCCCTCAGATGAAGGATTCCATTTCACATGTGTCCGGGAATGTGTTCTTATCATGGTTTGTTCGAGTAAAACAAATAAAAAGAAAAAAAACGGACATAAAACGATAAAGTTAAAAACGTTAGAGTTGAAAGTAGTAAGTTCACTCAAAGTATGAGCCTTAATTGAGAATGATAATAGACTATGATTTATACAGCTAACCCTAAATAATTGAAAAAAATGTTTTAGATGATAATTTATTATTTAATATTTAGTTTTATATTTTTATTTTAATTTTAAAATAGAAATATATATAATGAGACTATTGGATGTGAAATCGAGTGGTTTGTGATGTGTCTTAGGTTCTGTGAAGAGACTCGTTGTCCGTTGATTGTGTGAATATACATACTTGCCATATATAGGCAAATTACATATGAGAAAATATAAAATAAATCAGAGACACCAAAACTATATCCAAATTTACCATAAAATACAGATATTGTACCTATCATTCTCAAATATACAGATTAAAATATACACCTTCCATATTAACTGGATATACAATATATTTTTTCCTTTCACACTCCCTCTGATGCTTTGAGAGAGCAACAAATGAGCATTTGGATCTTTAGGTGTATAGTATGACCAATAAATGCAGTGGTTGCCATCATCAGATTGCTTGACAAAAAACAGCAACGGATCAACAAGCCAAAAATTGCAGATAGTCCCAGAGAGAAAAACATATCAGAGAGTAAAAAACAACTCGGCAGATATACAGAAGCGCCGAGAGTCGAAGCACGACTCAACAGAGAGTCGAAACATGACTCAGCAGAAGTTGTACCGACTGGATGAGCAACAGACTCGTCTTGAAAATCGGCAACAACACTTCAAGGATGAGGAATTAATGATATAACTAATATGAATATGGCTCTGATATCGAGTGAAGAGTCTTAGGTTTCTCTGAAGAGACTCATTGTCAATTGATTGTATGTATATATAGACAAATTACAAATGAGAAAATAGAAAATAAATCAGATACATCTAAATTATATCCAGACTTACCATAAAATACAAATATTATACCTACCCTTTTTCCAAATATACATGTTAAAATATACACATTCCATATTAACTAGATATATACTGTCCCTTCACATAGTCAAGGATGTATCATTCATTGGACCCAAAGTCCAAAATAAAATTTCATGAAGGTTTTGACATACTTCAATCATTTGGATTTCACATCCAACACCTAAAATAATTGTGACCTCGTGGTATCAAAAGTAATAGCCTTATAATATACAATCTCTTTTCAAATACCTATTAAAATAAGAATAAGTTAAAAGATTTCCTACTGCCGCGGGAGTATATTATCCATTACTCCCTCGAGCAAAATTTACGTTAGATTTCTTTTTTATATTAAAATTTGGGGATGTGATTTCTAGAATTTGGCAAATGGCCTCAAAGAAACATAAAATTAATTCTCACTCTCTATGTAACGAAAAAAACATATCATCTCAGTATTGCATTGGTAAATAGCATAATTGCAGCCACCGAATTTTACATCTAATTATTAAGATTAATGTGACGACTTGTACTAAAGGTAAATGCTCTCATTCTATACTTTTCTTTCACTTAAATTTACATGATTCAAGATTTGTATTATGCCAAAAGATTTTTTACTCCCTCTGGAGTAAGATGCGTATTAATTTCCTTAGATAAAGTCTCACCTAGAACTATCTCTGGAACCCAAATTTTACAGATGTATCCCCTTCAATCCATAGATTAATCTCAATAATTTTTGCTTTTTAAAATGCACCCTCTATGCACAAACAGAAAATAAAAAATATCCCTAGATTGAATAAAGACCATCCAATTTTTAGATGGTAAGTGTTAAAAAACTCAAATTTTATGTTTTTTTAAAATAATTATCTAGTAATTCTTGAGTGGTTTTTGAAATTTTATATTGAAAGAAAATCCTCCTAAGTAAGTCTTTAGACCAGTGATTTAAAAAACTGATCATCGGACATCGCAAAAATCGGTTTGAATTGGTGAATCCAGGTTTTACTATGTGAAAAAATAGTGAACCGCCAAAAAACATGTGCAAAAACAATGAACCGACTAAAAATCGGTCTGGATTAGTGAATCAACATTTCTAATATAAAAAAATAGTGTTTTTACTGTAGCAAATGTTGTTTTATTGTAGCAAATTGTTGATTATTTTTTAGATTTAAATAAATTTTGTATCGATAAAATCAGCATGTGATCGATTCCAGGGTCGGATGGGACGATTCATTATTGACATGGCGTTTTTTAAATCAATGCTTTAGAGTTTAGAGCGAGGGACTAAAAACGAACCATACCTCGAGAGAGCATGATATATGCGTATTATCAACGATTTATTCATTTGTGCAATAATCTTCCAATCTAAGCCGTCCATTAAAAACTACAAATATGAAAAAACTGTCGGTGACGCTGGCCAGAGGTCCTGACATAACGAAGGTCGTAACGGTCACTTTGGTGATAGAAGGACACGTGTGATATTTTTTGATAAGGTTAGGATGATTTAGACATTATTGAAAAGACTGGGCTTTTCTGTCGTCTCTCACCCTGATAAAGCGGGTAGAGCTTCCTATTTGATAGGGTGTTTTCATGGGGAGACGTGAAAGGTGCAGCTCCCTCCCTCCCTCGAAGCCCCTTTCTCTCTCTACCCTGCCCTGCCCTGCCCTGATTTTCTCTCTTCTGCGAACTACCTAATATCCATCTACCTCTCTCCTCTTTCTCTCTCTAACCCAACCAGATTCTCTCTCCTCTTACATTTTCCTTTTATGACCAGTTTCTCTCTCTCTGCACTTCCCCCACTCTGTCTACTTCAAGTATATTTTACCCACTGAGCTTTCTCTCTCTAAACTTCACTCTCTCTCTCTAAACGTACCCTCTCTCCACTCCTCCAGCCGTTTTTCTCTCTCTCCGCTTGCCCAACGCGCGCTTTTAGCCTCTACCCAGTCCAGATTCTCCAGCACCTGCGCGGGCTTCTTTACCTGAAACCCACTCTCTCTCTAAACCTGTTGCCCAGTCTCTTTTTCTCTCTAAACTCTGCCACTCTCTCTCTACCCTGTAGCCCACTCTCTCTCTAACCGCGACACAGACAAGGATAGAAGGGAGGGGTTGTCTGTCAGCCGATGTATTTTACGTCAAATCACACACCTGCAACTGCCTCGCTCCATTTATAACAGAACAGTCCTTCTGACTTTTTCATCTTCTCTTTTTCTCCGCTGCAAGCTGTGGGCTTGTTCTTCTTTGTTCTTTGCCTTTGCTCTTTTGCTGTTGCTCTCTTTCTCTCTCTGTTGTTTCTTTCATCCCCGCTCAAACAGTGAGAGAAAGCCAGGCAGCTAACGCCATGTTAGGAATCTGATAATCTCTCTCTAACCCACTTTACTTTCTAACCTCTTAACTTGCAGGGTCTCCGCAGAAATGACTAAAGATGAAGACTTTAAGCTCCTCAAGATCCAGGTCTCTCGTTCTCTCTCTAGAAATCTCTTTCTCTCTCTAGAAATGCAACGACCTTTTGAATATACTCTTTCTCTTTCTCTATATCCCTCCCTCTTGCCACACCCAACATACATTATGCTCTCTCTCTCGTCCTATAATGTATTTTTCTCTCTCAACAGGTGCACTAGAAAATCTGTTTAATATTGCTGTTTTCTTTGTTTTAATGAGTTGAGCTCATTTCAGTGCTATGGGGTTTTTTAGTTGATAGTGGAGGTGGGTTCTTTTGTTTTGATTCCTCTTTAAAAATTTGATCTCTTTTGGGTTTTTTCAGACATGCGTTCTGAAAGTACACATACATTGTGAAGGGTGTAAGCAGGAAGTGAAGAAGGTGCTTCAGAAAATCGAAGGTAAACTCGAAAACAGAACAGAGAGAAACAGCTTCAAAAGTTACTTCCCTTGATCGTTTATGAAAGTGAAACTATGAGAGAGAAACAATGAGATTTATGCTTTAACTTCCATTTTGGTTTATGTTGAATGTCAAGGTGAACCATTTTTACAGAGCTTAAATGAAATTTCCAAATCTCATATTTCTCTTCTTTTATTAGGTGTGTACACTGTTAGCATAGATGCAGAGCAGCAAAAGGTCACGGTCTCAGGCAATGTGGACTATGCAACTCTTATGAAGAAGCTATCAAGATCGGGAAAGCATGCAGAGCCATGGCTCCAAAAGGCCAAACAATCACAACAGAAGGTCCAAACCCTCAACCCCAACAAGCAAGAGAAATCCAACAACAACCAAAACCAGAAGCCTTCCTCTCTTATCAAAGACATGAAAGCCTTCAAAAAGCTCCAAGCCTTCAACTTGGAGGAAGATGATTTTTCTGGTGAAGATGATGAAGATTCAGGGGACGAAGATGAAGCTTGCAATGAATTTAGAATGATGGTCCAAAACAATGGCAAGAAAAACCCAAACCCGAACCCCAACCACAACCAGAGCTTCAAGAACGGCGGTGCCGGCACACCAGGAAGTGGAGGAAAGAACGCGAATTCTAGCGAGAGGAACAGTCACAACCAGAGCGCCATGAAAGTTTCCGATCAAAAGGGACCCAACAATAGCAATGGGAGCAAGGTGGTTGGCTTTAATGGTGCAGAGGTGAAGAGAGGAGGCCATGAAATTAATGGAATCGGCGGGTTAGGGTTGGGGTTTAACGGTGCTGGTGCAAATGGTGCCGGGTTAGGTTTTCAACCTCAGCAGCACCATTTTAACAACTTGCAGGGTGCAGCCATGGCAGCTCAGGGTTATGGAGTGAATCCCACTTCATACCAGCAACAATTACAGCAACAACAATTACAGCAACAGCAACAGCAACAGGCAGCAGTGATGATGATGATGAATAATAATAGTATTCACAGGCCACAAACTTTAGGAGAGAGATACATGCCACAAATGATGTATTATAGGGCCCCTCCAACCCCTGCTGCTACTGCTTTTCACCATCCTCAATCTGAGAGTGCTGAATATGCCACCCATATCTTCAGTGATGAGAATGCAAATAGCTGTTCCATCATGTGAGAGAGGGACTGAGGGGTTTGTTTGTTTGTTCAGACTTTGGAGAGAGAGAGAGATCAGACTAGTTACTGGAGATTAAGTTGGAGCCCATTGGAGAGAGAGAGAGAGGACATGTTGGAGTGGAGTGTAGAGAGAGAGAGAGTGGCCATGTTGGTTATAGGAATATGCTAAGAGAGAGAGAGAGTCGAGTGTGCTTAGAGAGAGTCAAGTGTGCTTAGAGAGATAGAAGTGTTTTTAGAGAGGAGTTTTTAGAGAGAGAGACAAGTGTGCTTAGAGGGAGAGAAGTGTTTTTAGAGAGAGAGAAGTGTGCTTAGAGGAAGAGAAGTGTTTTAGAGAGAGAGAGGTGTTTTAGAGAGAGAGAGAGGCGCAAGTGTGCTTAGAGAGAGAGTGAAGTGTTTAGTAGAGAGAGAGAGAGAGAGAGAGGCCATGTGAGTCAGTCTCATAGTCTGTGCCTTTCTCGGATGTATGCGTTGCTGTTGGGTTGTCTTGATCTGCATGTTGTTATCTGAAATTTTAGAAGTTTGAAGCGCTTTTCTTTTATGGTGGTGGGCTATATACTTAAAGAAGAAGAAGACCCCATTAAAAGTTCCTATCCTTTTTCCTTGTTCCCTTTTTATGATCGCTTTTCTTTTTTTTTCTTGTGAAATTTGAGATAGTATTTTGATGCATATGTATTAAGAGCAAGTTGTTTGTAATTATTGTTTTGCTTTAGAGTAAATATAGCTATGCCATTGCAGTAGCTTAAACGATTTACGGTTTCTTCATGGTGTAGTTGTAATATTTATATGCCTGGGTTGTTGGCCTTTAATATAATATATCTATGTGCAGAGGCTAGTTATATGCTGGTTGCTGCAAAAATGAATGCTTATTGCTTTCATTTATTGTAGGCAGAGATTGGACAGACGTGTTAAAGCCCCATAAAAAATGTTCAGATTTCTGGTACTCAATTGACGGCAAGGAAATGTTAGGGGTCGCGTTTTTGGATTTGGCTCAGAATTACTTTTCTATCTCAAGATTGCGGATTATCATCGTCATTATGCTATATCCTAATAATTTGGGGTTTAGGATTTATGAAATGCTTTATCCTAATTATTTAAGGTTTAAGATTTATGAAAAGATTTTTATGCTGGCTAGCCCTCCACCTTTATTAGAATATAAAAATGAATGAGGTTTTTGTAAGGCCAATGTTTTATGAAATCAAAATAAAGCCTTACCTCAAATCCTTGTTAAAAAAGTATTTTTGGCTCTAAAATCAAGGGAAAATTACAAGTGACTTTGGAGACTTAACTTTTTATGCAAAATACTCTCAACGAAATTATTTTAGTCCACTTTTTTTTATTCAAAATGCACGTTTTTAGGAAATACATCACATGTATAAAAAAAGTGCATTTTTTTTGGTATAAAAAAGTTTAATTTTGGCCGGACATTGCTGTTGGACTGTATTTTGACATTGCCGGACCTTTTTAAACTAAAAAACGTATTGGATCGTTCTTTGACATTGTCATACTTGGTTAAACCAAAGAAGGTGCTGGATTGCTTTTTCACATTGCCGGATCACATTTTGGGCATGTTGTCGGATCGTATGGGGATCGTATGGGTCTGATGTCTGATCGTATGGGTTTATTGTCGGATTGCTCTTGGGCAGTACCGGACCGCATGCGCCTATTGTTAAATTGGTTTTTTGTCAGTGTTGGACCGTCATTTGTATTGTCGGATTGCCACTGTTATTTATTAAATCGACATTACATTGCCGCACCGCCTTGAGAATATGTCGACGCCTTTTCTTGGGAAAGAATATTCATGGGAAAGAGGAGAGAGGTGGGGGTAAATCGTAAGGGAGGGGGAAAGAGGATTAGTTTTCTTTAAAATCAATTTCCAACACCAATAGTAATTTTTAAAACTTAAAAAATAGAATAGATCATACATATATGTTTAACACTTATTTTTAGGCAAAATATACAAACTAGATAATCTGGTATGATATATACTATTTCCAACACCAACAGTAATTTTTAATGCGTGAAATTTTGTTTTTTTGTTTATTTTCTTTTTTCAAGTCAAGATGATTTGGTGTAAAGGTTTTTCAATGCTCGGCTTGCCAATAGGTTTTTCGAATTGCCATTTTCGATGAGGTGAGTTAGAGATGAGGATTTATTTTGATAAGGCTGCAGCCCTATCAAATCATTTTCCTATAAAGATTTAACCTCCCCCTCTTTTAAAATATTAATGTGGTGCAAATAGAGTATAATATGCAGTGTTTGAAGGCTAATTTTAGAGATTGATGTCATATTTGTGGCCAGATGCTAGGTGCACTATTGTTTTAGTGTTTGACCAAGTAAAGCTAAGGTGTTGATTGGCATCCAAGTGAAGTTATCGTACCATAAAATATTTGGTGGCACTTGTAAAGATTGTGGGGTTATTATGCACATGCATCCAAGGTGGGATGCATTTCAACAAGCAAATTATTTGCGGTGGCTGGCCCAGGTTGTTATATTATCATATTACTCGAATTTCGAGATGGTATGGTCTGGTCTGGTCTATTATGGACCTGGGGCCACCCACTTGGTACACCTGCAAAATGAGAAAACAGGAAGTATGTTATTGATAAGGGGGCGCGTATAATATATGCTCCCTGGGAAGCATATTTGACATTTACTTCCTTAGATAGCTTTTCATACTTTCCCGAATGTATAAAAAGCTTATATATTTCTTCTTAATCAAGATGATCCCAATCAAAGTATCATTCCTCTATATTTTTTTTATTTTTAATGCTTTTTATAAAGTCTTTTGACACAAAATTTTAGTCCACATTCCTCTCTTAAACTCTCACATGTAAAAAATATTAAAAAATATCCTCAATAAAATAAAAAAACCAAAATACTCTAAAAGTTGTAGGAGTAGTTTTATCATTTTATTTTAAATAATAATAAAATACTCTGAAGCGTCGGATCTAATCAAACGATCGGTGTCTTGATCAAAATTGGACAGCTGGATAGGGAGGAGTGTATATCTTACATATAGTAGGGGAAGTATAGAAACCTCCCTTGGGTAAAACACTTGTTGAATATTTTTTACGATCCTTTTAATTATAATTAGATAATTATTTTTTAAAAAATTGGATTATGAGTTGTTGAGCATCTTAATCATTCTTCTAAAAATTGGATGGTTCCAAGGCCTTTCTCTTTAGGCATATAGAGAAGCCAAGAGTTATTTATTTATTTGAGGTTGGTTGCTTGGTTCTAGAGATCCTATAATTTGGGATTTAAAAGATATTTCTAGTATAATTTTTACTCGAGGGATTAGATAAAGTGAAAGTATACAATGAGACGATTTACCATTGGTACAAGGTGGTCATAATTAATCTCCATCATTGAATGTGAAATTGGGTGGCTGCATTTATTTTATTGATCAAACTCAAAGTTCAAAAGAAATTTTTTCGAATTTTATGACACACCCAAACTATCGAATTTTACTTTGAGTGGTTGTAACAATTGTGACCTGTATGTGCCAAAGATAAAGGTCTGATTGTAAGCCAAAAGAAAGACAAATGTGCCATGCGAGAGACGGTCTCTCCACAGCATGTCCCAATTTATCTTGTTAGAAATATGTATATATCACCAGTTTTAAACAACGAGAGTAAAACCCAATTTAGGAGTGCTTGTTAATTTTTTTGTTTCTTTTGAGATCGTCTTAACAATCGCCTTCATAGTTGTTGGAAATAGGATGAAGAATAGTACTAGAGTCGAGGAGGGATTAATATATCAAAGAAAAGTATAAAATGAGACCATTCATCTTTGGTACAAGGTGGTCACACTTGATGTTGACCATTGGATGTGAAATTGGATGGTTGCATTTGATCTATTGACCAAGCTCAAAGTTCAAAAGAAATTTTCTCAAATCTTGTGATATACCCAAGCTATTTGATTTTACATCGAATGATTACAAATAATTGTGACCTCTTTATGTTAAAGGTAAATAGTCTCATTATATCCAATCTCATAAATCGAAATTGTTTAGAATCTCTTTATTATAGAGATTGATGTCCATATAAATATTAAATTTAAAGAACTCCATCTCTGTGCATAAGGGATCACAATCCTAAACTAGAAGAATCGAGTAATGAAATTTCTTGGACGGAGGTTCTTCAGTTAAGTATCTTGTAGTTCTCAAGGTGAGTATCCCACTAAAGCATCTATGTCATCCTCGTTGTGTCGTCCTCAGGGTAAGTATCCCATTTCTTAATGTAGGCATAAAAGCATGTCTACAATCAACTTGACAACCTATCATTATAATGAACCAGTGGTTTAAAAAATGGATCGGTGCCTCGGATCGAGCATCTCAAAATTTCATCTGAATTGGTGAATCGGTGATTCGGATTGGGAATCGGTCGAATCGGTCGGATTAAACATTAAAAATCCAAAAAATATTGTTTTTTAGGAATCCATTAAAAATTTTGATTTTTTTACATAAATATGCGAATATTGATATGTTCTTTCTCTACATGAACTACTGTTTAGCATTTAATTTACATCACACAAAAGTATAAGCATAGAATTATCATGGATTAAGTATATTATCATATATGGACTACAATAAAACATACAATTCGTAAAATACGGCCTAAAAATAAATGACAGACGACGTCGTTCTTCATCTTGTCAAGCATGAATTAGTTCCTACTGGGAAATTTTTTTTCTTTATGCAACATTATAGATAAAGAGATTCTGTATAAGTCACATTTAGAATCAAGAAAAAAAATTACAATAATATAGTCGTCCATAATGCCACTACCCGTACATTTGGCACAAAAAATAATTATAATGATATAGTCATTCACAATGCCACAAATAATATTTACAATGATATAGTCATTCACGATAATATAATTATAAAATATGTATCAAGAATATACATACATTTTATATATCAACATCCAGTTTTTTGCATTAAATTTTAACAATAACATTGAAAAATACAAGTTAATTTAATCACTGGTTATCATCATAGCACCGCCTAGCCTACTTACAAAGCCTCTTTTAAAATTAGTTTCTAGCAAGTATATAACAATATGTG